TTATGTGTCTGTCACTTGTGCTCACTTTGGGATATTTTTCCAACTTCTCCTTCATCTGTGTTTCTCTCAGAGATTTAGTCATCAGCGGAGCCTCTTCCAATAACTTCCTGCAGGGACGAGGGAGAAAGAGATAAGACGCTGTTCTGATGAAACGAGCTGTGCAATAATAAAAAAAGCAGACTGTGGAATCAACAATGGGAAAGCTGAGCACAAAATGTTTCATCTTCTACCCTACTCGACTCGTGTGTGGCCGTGTATGCGTGTGTGCCTTTCAGAGGCACGAGACGAATTGCTGTGGTTGGCTTAATTCCACCCTTGGTAATTGCAGTCAATGACACGGTAGTAGCGTAGCCATGAGGCAGCCAGTTAAGTCGATGTAGACGGAGATTAAAGGATGTACGCGGTGAGGTCTCAACCTGACAGTGTTTGGCTGATGGCTGGAAGATAAACGTCTACACAGAACAGGCGTACTAATTGCTCCCTGTATGCCATATTTAGAAGCTTTTGTAGTGTGCGTGGTGTCTTTTAAATGAGAACATGTTTACAAACACACACAATGTCTCAGCAGCTGTGTCCTGCTGCGGCCACATCCAGAAAGCGCAGAGTAAACTTGTCCGCATCTGTGAAGAAGCGCTCATAACTAAAGGAAGACTTCAAACTCATAATAAATAAATAAATAAATAAATAAAACTTCATAACACACGCAGTGATGCCCAGCATTCTCCCTGCCTATGGCCTCTGATCATTGCTATGGTATTCTGCAATTAAGGGTTATACATCGACAAAACACCACAGGACCAAATGCCAAACTGACTAATTATCTGTTACAAACAGTGCAGGAACACATCTGATCCAGACATGTTTCTGCAGCAACGAGGTATTTATACTAAATATCACACACAGTTCTCTGACCCCAAGTCACTCAACCGCTTCCAATCACTTCCTTCTCCCACCTCTCGCTCTTCAGCTGGGCGAAGCGCTTGCGCACATCATCCACAGTCACTTCAAAGAACTCATCGGGCAGATTCCCGTGGTCCTCAGAGTGACGGGACATCAACTCCAGGTGGTAGATGAGAGGCTCCCTCTCTACTGGCTGTAAAGAGTGTGAGTGAAGGTGGGCAGAGGCGTAAAGAATTTATTGATCAAATTTATCAATATAACAAAGAAACAGTAACTCTACTAAAAGAACAATAAAAACGGATTGTGGCCAAACACCTCTGATGATTTCAATTCTAGCTGAAACAAAGTTATTAAACTATATTCATGATGTTCAATTTGGGACAATGGTTGTTAAGTTCAAGATTCAAGATTCAGTTGAAAGTGGAATTTTGGACAGTTGCGGGAAACAAACACATTGACATACAGTTCGAGGCCCTGAACCACATAAAGCAAACTGAAACATCACAATTCTATTGTATTTAGTAACCTGTCAGGGAATCAAACCCTTAAATTAATGAGTTGCAGAATCATATTGTGTCTAAGGCAAACTGAACTAAACAGGTAACAGGTTTAAAGGTCAGAAACAAAAGGGTTTACCTCCAAGAACTCCTCCCCCTCGTCCATGTCCTCATCTGGCTGGTTGGCAGGGTTTTGACGCTGTGGAAAGAACAGAAAGGGCTACAATTTATATTCAGTTACATGTGAAGAAACTGTTGTCAGCCAAAGTTTCTTAGGTCAAGAATGAACTTTTAGTCTCAGCCCAATCTTTTGCAATCCACTAAAAATATCTGTTGTAGGGTAAGCAAAAACGACTTCATACAATTTCCTAAAGCTGACATACAGTAAGAATTGTCCCACTATAAAACACTAGAGCTACGTTCACACTGCACTGCACTGGCCCACATCAGATTTTCTTTTGCTCATATATAACTCATATATGTTTTTTTACATGATGATCTCTTCAATTCTAATTTGGACCACTTTCATATGTGTTCAGATCAGATACAGGTCAGATTTCTTTGCAATGTGACCTCAGTGTGAACAGTCATATCAGAATTCATGTGACTTTTATGTCACTCTGACATTTGTCACATGGGTCACTTCAGGGCCATGACCTGTTCACACTGGAATCTGATATGGGTCTGTTTAAATAATAATTTGAACAGCCAAACAAAAGAAAAAACTGAGCACTAAATCAGAATTGAGGTTAAAAGTTACTCCTGACCAAGATTCAATATCAGCACTTTCTCCATTTTCACTTCTCACCTTGGTAGCAGAACCGTGGCTGGATTTGGCTTTCTTGGCTTTGGGTGATTCTACTGCAGCAGTAAGAGCTGACAGAGCTGAGGATGATGAGGATGAAGATAGTGAGCGTAACACTGCACCTCCCCCGGGTCCCCCGAGGCGCTGACCGCCTCCAGAGAAGGGAATGAAGGGAACTGAGGGAGTGGCGGAAGAGGAGGAGGAAGAAGATGGGTGAGAATTCAGTCCTGATGGCCCTGGTTTCTCACCATCCTCCTCTGGTGGTCCTCTCTCCACGGGAGAAGACTTTGGCCGAACTGCATCCTGGGAGTTTGGAACCTTTTCCTGTTGAACAGGAAGTGTGCTTGCGGCAGAGGCAGGAGGAGGCGCAGGGGGGGTTTCCATTGGCCTATCGGGGCTTGATTTTTTTATTGGCACCTCCGTTGTTGGCGTCTCCAGACGTGACGGAGCAGGATCGGGCTGAGATGGCGGGCTAGGTGTGGTTTCCTTGGCAACTGGTACGGTTGGCACAGCAGCTGTTTCAGTGACTTCCCCACCATCTTCCTCTCCCTGTTTGTTTTTGAGTAAAAACCTTAAACCGAAAAGGAAATAACAGCTTTATCATAAAGCATGAACTCTCAAGTTTACGTTGTATTTTTATGTTTGTTCATATTGTTTGTACACAATATTTAAATCTGCTTCAACACAGGAAACCAACCTGACAATGGCACTTCCTCCTGTAAGACCCAGAGACTTCAGAGTGGCCTTCTTGAGCGCTTCTTCCCCACTCACCTACACACAGACACAGACACACAGACACACAGACACACAGACACACAGACACACAGAACACAGACACAGACACACACACACACACACACACACACACACACACACACACACACACACAACACACAGACACACAGACACACAGACACACAGACACACAGACACACGTTACCATAAAACTCACTTTCATCTCTTGAAAAAAGGAGTATGGAAGGAACACCGCATACCTCGTCTCTCATGTAAACACACACAGGGGTGGATCCTGACTCAGACAGCTCCGACACACTGGAATCAGGCGTCGACAATAAGAAAAACATAGATTTAAATTATGGGCTGATTATTTTTTATTTGACCCAACAGTGACAAAGCAAAACACAGAAGTGATTTTCCCTTGTTCGTGAAGATCAGCTCTGTGATTTTACAATAAAACCTCATGCAATGCAGTGGCGCGCTGTCTGCATGTGTAAACCATGTGTGCACAATCCCGTGTAGAAACTAATTGAACCATAAATGTTTTACTATTGTTCTCCTCCATTCTGAAAATCAAAGCTTCCCCCTCTGCTCCACAACATTCCCAAAGCTTTTCCTCTGGTGCAGAGCTAATATTCATTTCATGGAAGTGTAACGTCCCTGGAAAAGGATCAGGGTATGGAGTGATGTCATTTAATAGAGATGAGAGCTGGACGGATGCACGAGCACCTGGGACCGCACAGCTGGAACTACTGAGTAACAGCTGCATGTGTGTGTGTGTGCGTGTGTGTGTGTGTGTGTGTGTGTGTGTGTGTGTGGTTTGAATGAGTGGTGATGATATGTGGGAAAGCTTAAACCACAGTAGAAGAGTGATGAGAAAAAGGCATGTTATCTAACACAGTGTTGGCCTGCATTCATTCCTACACAAGGATCACTTTCGCTTTCCAGCAGCAAACACACACACAAACATGTTTGTCATCCATACTTGTGAGGACCATCTCTACCGCCTTACTGGTGTAGTGTGATGTCACAATATGGTAGAGCTGCAACAATTGGTCGATTATTTGATTAGTTGTCAACTATTAAATTAATTACCAACTATTTTAGATAAATTAGGTTTTAAGACAGAAATATTCTGATTTCAGCTTCTCAAATGTGAATATTTTCTGGTTTGTTTTGGCCTCTATGACAATAAACTGAATATCTTTGGGTTGTAGACAAAGCGAGACATGTGAGGACATCACCTTGGGATCTGGGAAACAGGGATTTTATGGCATTTATAGACCAAACAACTAATTGATTAACCAAGAAACTGAATAAAAGATCAATTGATGAAATTGTCGTTACAAAATGTGTCATTACAAATGAAATGATTACGTTTATGCATCATAGAGTATATTTCATTTTAATTGTTGGGGTTCAAATTTGAAAAATATGTGGTGACACCGGCATGAGACCTACGCTGAATCATACAAGCATTTACACAAAACCAATCACAGAGAGACCAGTGTTGGCAAACTTGGCAAAAAGTGGAATTTGGGGCAGTTGTGGGATAAATTCACTTTTGAATTATAGTTCAACTTTGGATGAATTCCAAAACTGTTTTTTAATTGTCAACAAACACTTCAATTCCCAAACCAAACCTATCACTGGCTTCTTCACCATGGCAACGGCAACAGAAGCTCATGGGTATTGTAGTAATGGATAAAATATAGTTTCTCAGAAAAGTTGAAATACTTAAAATTAATGGCCAAGATTCATCCTGCGTTTCTAAAATCAATAACACTGAGGTTGTTAAAGAAACATTTGAAATAGGAAAACAGAAGAGGGAAAAACACTTCAGAGAACCAGCGGATCTTCCCACTGTACTACTCTCAATGTGTAACCCCAACTTCACCCTCGAACAGCCCTGTGAAGAAGTAAAAAAACAGAAAAAATGACCTCAAATCAGTTCTGCTTGGTCCTCACAGTGATAGATTGATTGATGTACAAAAGCACACACACACACACACACACATTTTGTACATGTGTACACACTCATACACGCACCTGATCTGGGGAAAATGTGTGAGCAGTTCCCACAGACTCTGTCCACACGAGAAGGAACCCTGGAGCCGAGAGCCGTCCTCCATCTGTAGTGCAATCCGCACCTGAGGAACATGAAACCACAGTAACACACAGCTGCAGTTTAAACAAATGCCACAAGTGCCACACTTTACACACAAACCAGAGTGAGGAATCAATAATGAGTCTAAATGATGAACAACAGTCCACACACGCCTCTGGAGCTGGGTGTCTAACCTCACAGTACACACAGTATGCACGTGCTATAAGCGGTTGTGAGAGGAATTTAAAGGGTGTTACATTTTTTTTAAGAGTTACTAACAAAGATGTGACAGATGTGACAAAGGACCCTGACTGGATTTGATCCAACATTACATTGTATATTGGCCCCCTGGATTAAAACTGTTTATTTTTCAGAATTTTCTATAATTTCTGTTTTTTTCTTATAAAATACTTTATAGATTTTCAATGAGACCTTATTCAATTTACACTATTTAAAATACGTAAATCACAAGCACTGGCTTTTTCCATAAAGTTATTTATGAATATTAATTTAAACCTTTAAAATAAAAAAGTTCAAACTAGGTGGCTGTATCTTTACCTCAAACCTCTTAAATGCAGGAGTGAAACTCACTGTACTAAGTACCAAAATCTCCCTAGGTGGCCATTTGTAAGCTCTTGGCTCTACAGTCTTGAGCCATTTTGCAGGAAGAAAATTCTTTGATAATCGAACTTGATTAAGCTGCACATGTGGGCCCACCTCAATCTGGAAATGAGTAACACCCGGCATCAATGCAATTCTCTGTTGTTCTTTCACTCTCTGAGTCATTCTACAAGTTGTTTATGTTTACTCAACAACCGTGTTGTCCAGTACAGAAAGCTCACTGCACGTCCGGGGAGAGATGAAAAGAGCGCCTTGGCTGTCAACGACCAAGCACGAAACACTCTCGCACACTCAGTCTGGCTGAGGTAAATGTTGGGAGAGCCTGAGCAAGTCTTGTGTGTGTGTGTGTGTGTGTGTGTGTGTGTGTGTGTGTGTGTGTGTGTGTGTGTGTGTGTGTGTGTGTGTGTGTGTGTGTGTGTGTGTGGGGTACAAGAGTGAGTGTGTGTGAGTATATAAAATCTGTGAGGTATCAACAGTCAACCATCCATCAAATGAACAAGAACAACAGATCAAACCCAGCCGTGATTTTACTGCTTAGATTATGATGCCATGATGTCATAGGAAACTACAGCTCAGCTACAACAAAGTGTTTTTTTGGATACAGATCAGATCAGAGAGAACGCAGGAACACAGGCAGAGTATTTACACATTTCCAGGTACCGACAATAAAACCTCACACAGCTGACAGGGAAAAAAAGCCTAAATAATAATGATACTACAATATAAGGCAACATATCATCTGGGAGTTTTCCCCCTCAAACATAATTATGGGTGGGACAAATCTTGATATGGTTTTATGTGATACAATACTGATACTCTGGCACCAGAACCATTACACTCTGTGTTGCATCATTGAAGCCAAGGTATTTCCTTTCTTTCCTGCAAATATTTCCTCTTTGAACTCTTTTGCCAGTATAGTCTGTCTGACACAATCATGGCACACATGTGGATGTGCCCGTGTGGCTCAGATTCTCTGCACTTTGTTATACAGGGCGTCATCTCACCTGTGCGTACTTAACTTTGTGGAAGTGAAAGCTCTTAATAATCCAGTGAGGCACATCATAGATTACTTTCTTACAGTCTAGCGTGTTTTCACCTGTTTTGTGACACTCTAGCTTTAATTATCATACTGCGATATACAGACGAGTGATGAGTTAAAGGAAAAACTAGAGGCGTCACTGACTGGTTGGATGGATATGCCATGGCTTTCCCAGCCACCAGATCTCAACCCAACTGAGTGTCTGAGATTTTGGCTGACATGTTAGACAGCACTCTCCATCATCATCATAAAACCAAATGAGTGAGTTTATTTTGGAAGAACAGGGTTCATCCCTCCAGTGGAGTTAAGAGACTTGAAGAATCTATGACAAGTATTGGCTCTTTTGGCTGTGCCGAGTCAAACCATACCACGCTGATTCACGTTTCCATTACCAGTTGAAACGTGTCAAGTTGTTGTTCTGGTGGCTCAGAACGTCTTACTGAGACACTCTGTAGGTCCATAGTTCACTCTACATCACAATTAACTAACACAATAGGACTGTGGACGGAGTGCAATTAACATTCATAATTAATATTAATATTGTTATCTGTTCCAAGAGTCCACAGCAGCCACCAATCATAACACCAAAACAAAAAAAAAAAAAAACACATGAATAACCAAAGACTGAGTACAGAGAATATTGTGATATTTGATTATCACAAAGATAACAAAGGTAATATTACTGGATGTCAGAGGAGTCAAAGCTAATGTATCCATGTGGGTTTGGGATATGTATTGAGAGGGAATTCTCAACCAGTAATTCTTTTAGACTTTTAAAGCCATACTAAACCATGTGTTACCATATGTACTATTATGTTGTCAGCCTCTACAATTTAACACTCTATTTTTACTCTCTGTCTCTCTCACACACACACACACACACACACACACACACACACTTTGCTTTAACTAACCTGGCTGTCAGCTACAGCCTGTTTCCTTGTACTCGTCACCATTTCCAGTTTAGCGTTGTTGGGCAGATTGGCAAACCTCCATGGCCGCGTAAGGTCAATAGTGGTCCTCTGAAACCTGTCAAGAGTTTATGACAGAAGAAAGGACGAGTGAGCACGATGGAACAGTCAAATCTATATATACCGTAAAACTTCAGTTAATAGCCCAAGCTTTTATTTGCTTCAATCACTGAACTCAACCTGCCTTTACTTCAGACAGGCCTCTATATGGGACAGGCCTTTATATGGGACAGGCCTTTATATGGGACAGGCCTTTATATGGGACAGGCCTTTACATGGGACAGGCCTTTACATGGGACAGGCCTTTACATGGGACAGGCCTCTATATGGGACAGGCCTTTACATGGGACAGGCCTCTATATGGGACAGGCCTCTATATGGGACAGGCCTTTACATGGGACAGGCCTCTATATGGGACAGGCCTTTACATGGGACAGGCCTCTACATGGGACAGGCCTTTAATTCCTTTTGCACAAAACTTTTGTTCAGCAAAAATGGGAAATACTATGAAATCCATTATTTAACCATGAGTATTACTTGTATAAAAATTAATCTATTGAATAACATAATAATTACAAATGACTTACTTGATACTTTGGTGCTCATGGTTTCCATAAAATGAACGACTGACGTTTTGAGCAGCTTACAACTGGCTCAAGAGGGCGACCAAGTCGGCTTTAAGAAGTTTTATACATCCAAAGAACTTCTATAAAATCCAGACCAGGCCTTGTGTTTATTTATCAATAACATATAGTCACACCAGGTTAGTAAAGGGGACCTGCTTTACTCTGATGTTTTACAGTATATTAAAAAATAAAGAGCAGCATTAAGTTGGATTAAGTCTCTCTCCTCTAGAGTTCTCCGGGTATTATAAAATGATCCCAGAGGGTAAATTCAATCACTGCAATTGTCACACTGAACTAAGAATTAAACTTAAAATCAAATTAAACAAAAATTACATTTGATTTTCCTATCAATGATTAAAAATCAGTGCTTGAATTAAAGACTAAGATTTAATAACTAAAAGAGACAGAGCCCTCCTGTAGATTCACACACACACACACACACACACACACACACACACACACACACACACACACACACACACGTGGTTTGATTTGATTACATCTCTTAGAGTATTTATATGCAGTCTAGGCTCAGGCCAGGAATAAAAGCTAACATTAATGTAGCCTGTAAGTCTGCACGGTGACAGCTAGCTATCGGTGACATCAACCAGTGATACTCACTTCAACCCGTGATCTTCGGGGTTAAATCCATGCTTTTTGCACACATCCTCCAGCACCTGAAGATGACAAACATGAGCTGAATCTCACAGATTAAGAGTTGCCACCTGATTACCAAAATAATTTAATTTCACCCTCAAGAAGCCTGAAACTGATCTGTCACTGGCTAACGACTGTTAGCCTCACAAGCTAACTCAGAGGAGAGTAGTTTGCTCTGGTTGAGGAACAAAGAAACACAATGAAACAACAACAACAGTCAGACGGCATTAGAGGTTCTTCAGACACTAGTTACCTGTAATAACGGTGTGTTTGGAGACACTTTGACTGTCTGTCTTCTCCCATTTGGAGTGAGAACCGTCACAGCTGTACCACTGGCTGCCATTGTGTGTCGTGACGTCGCGGTGTTTGTTTGAATAAACTTTATTGACTCGTTACAAACAGAGTTTAAAGGGCCAGTTCAACCTAAATGTGAGGAGGTGTTTCTTTACAGGGGTACATGGGATTTTGTTTGTGGTGCTCACAGCATTGAGAGTTACAGTTATTACATCTACAATGGGTCTCCCTTTACATCATTTACATCATTTCCACAGATCTCACAGTTTTTATAGAAACTATGTTCTCATGACATATTCAGCAATATATATATTAAAATATTAAATAAGTCACAAATGCAGATGATGCTTATTTCACTTCTTGTATCAATTTAGTTTTGAATATATATATATATATATAGAGAGAGAGAATAAAAAAATTAAAGAATAAACTTAAATATGAGAGGAGAAACATAATGTGATGCTTTCATACAGTACAGGTGATTGCATGATACAATAGTGCCTTTTTTCACATTTTGGCATGTCAGGGAAAGCACAGGTTATACCTACAACATGAAGTTTCTAACTGGTCATGAAACAGTCTAAGTTTAATACTGATGCCTCTATATCACCTACATATCCACACAATTGAATGTGGTTATTTCAATAAGGTTATTTTTAATGCCTGCAACCAGGTTGTATTCGGTCATATTCCCCTTGAAATCAGTGAAACCAGGCGGTGGAAACACTATGACTGTTGTACACGGGGGTTGCCAGAATCAAAAGAGAAATTAAAGTAGTTATGGCTAAATACCCTGCAGGTATGCCAAGTCCAGTTCCTCTATTTGTGTGCACAGTGGTTTGCTCATGGGGACATTTGAGCAATTGTAAATTATAGTAGTTACACATGTGCTTTTCCTGCAGCAACAAGTGGAAATATCTGCAATGAAAAAGGTCCATGCCTCCATCCCCAGGACAGTAGGAGTCACTGAATAGTTTAATGAGTATGAAAGTGAAGTTAATCATATGTGATTTCACTCTTATCCGATCTCAACCCAGTTGAGCGACAGAGATTTTGGTGTAAACTGTTAGACAGACACATTTCCCTGGTACAGTATGAGGGTGCACATGTATAAGAACATGAAGGGGACTGATAAAAGCAGAGTGAGGCACCTTTGTACAGGAAGTGGTGTCTCTTTTTATGTTTACTTTTTATTACCCATCTCTGCTTGTTTTATCCTTATGAGGTTTTTTTCTTTCAGTCTTTTGCGTCTGATAAATACGACATCCTTAAGATATTTTAAATTTTTATTAAATTTTTAGAAGAATCATATTTAAGTCTGACATTTTATGTCCATTGAACTAATGGGTGCTAAAATCTTTGAAGATAAATTAGTTAAATCTCTAAATAAAGCACATAATATTTGTATAAAACAACATGAAGATCATTTTCTTGTCCAACACAACCAATCTGGCTTAACAAGCCTTCCTACTTTAACTGCAGTGATGCTCATAACAGAAGAAATTAGATCCCGCCTGCTGTTAACTGGCAACAACACGTCCAATCTGTGCCCCATATGGACGACTCCATATTTATATATACCATATATACCATATATACCATATGCAGTTTGACAGATGACCTGCACAGACAGAGAATCAAGGCCATTTTCAGCAAGAATCAAATTAGATCAAAGCTGGAATCAGGCTGGAAAGACAACGTGACATGTGGTGCAAACAGATGGGGAGGTGTGAGGCCAGAGCTTCAGACGACACACAACTGACTGACTGAACACTTCGGCAACATTTAGAGTCAGACTCCACCTGGGAAAGAGAGAGAGAGGTGAATACAGTTCTCAGTTCTGGGGGGAAATTGCCACCGTCTGAATAAACAAACAAACAATCAGTTTCCTTCCTCGCTCAGCAGGCTAGAAACTTCAAAACTGTCTGGATGGAGTGAAAGCACATGCAGGCATCTGTGCTCGGAGTTTGTCGTGTTTTAGGCAACATTTCCACACAAAAGAAACATTTAATCCCTGATTAATGAATGGCAAAATAAAACAATAAAACCCCAAAGCCTATCAAAGTCAGAAAACAAACTATGATCGTATGTTGCTGAATGTCAGACTTACAGATGAATCTTGTTTTAAATACAGATTGAAACAGTTTCAGTGGAAGTGAACTTAAGAAGAGCTTTAAGACTTGAATCAATACATGAGATATTGGATTTCAGAGAGTAAAAAAGTACTTTAGATTAAAATTAGGCAGAAAAACCTTTTTACAAACAGATCAGGAGGCTTTAACCAGACGTCTGGTCTGGTCTTCATTGCCTGATGTCAAGCTGTTATGTGGAAATTCATAATTTAGAGGGAAAAGTAAGTCAAAGTCCCACTGCTTCTAATAATGAGTGCAACCACAGAAAGAAAACTGTGGTTTTGAAGCAGTGTCTCTTTGAACTGTGGGGCAGGCCCCACTGGTGGGGCTTGGAGGCACTGCAGGAGGAGTGTGGATGACCAGTGTGGAGTGAAACTAAGTTGAATGAATATGATTTATGGAGGGAAAATAAACAAACAAGACTCTCACGTAACCTCAACGTGTATCCTTTTTTATTAGCGTCCCCCATAATTTTGGTGGGTGTCAACTTTTCTGGCTTCTGAAGGGGGGCACGCCAGAAAAAGTTTGAGAACCACTGTTTTAAAGTTTAGAGTTGTTGTAACTGGAAATAAAGTTGAAACCTGAAAGTCCCTTGCTCGCATTAGTAATGGAGACGAGTGGCCATCCTGCAGTATTCAGGTTTTCTTGGAGTGAGAGCTCCATGTTTCATGGCATTCACAACCAGCAGTTTTATGAGCTGCTCTGAACCCTCAGTGGGCGCAAACAAAAAGAAAAGGACAGTTACGAAGAGTGTTAAACATGATTAGAGGCTGTGATGCATGAAAAGGCAGAATGTGCTCCACAAACTATATTTGTAAAGGAATAAGAGCTGCAGAAGAAGGAAATGTCCATCTGCTGAAAATGTCCTGATATGGAGCTGTTACATATGAGTAATGGAGAGCTGGTAGCTGTCACACTCACTTCAAATAAAGACAGTAATACAAAGGTTAGATGCAGCAGCTTTAATGACTCATTCAAAACGATGGTCTCAGTAGTAAGTGTTAATTGTGTGTGAGTGTGTGTGTGTGTGTGTGTGTGTGTGTGTGTGTGTGTGTGTGTGTGTTGGTGAGTTAGTGAAACTCAAAGAGAGCTGCATATCTCTGTGTCCACACATGCCACAGTCATGATTTAAAGCCTTCCAGTGACCTTATCTCTCCTACAGACTCCCAGAACTAACTCCTCTCTTCAGGATGAATCTCTTTAGCAGCAACAAACAGAGCGAACTGAGTGTCAGTGGTGTCTGTTGGGCCCCCGCTGCATGGTGTGTGTGACCCTCTGTGGCCCTGTCCGGTTCTCCCCTCACACACCATATTCAATCAAGCACACTTCAAAGGCAGCGTGGTCATATGATGACACAACATCAAAGGGACCGAGTGTATGGACTGAAGGGGCGTGCCAGGCATGCGCGCGCTCTTTTGTGAGACCGACGCCTGCGAGGAGCATCAGCCAACGATAATAACGATTGGACCGCGGGAGTGAGAAGCACGCGGGGCAGGGGGCAGGAAGGGGGCGGAGGGGGGGGACTTCAAATAAATTTCCACTTCGTCCGCAGCTCATGAGGACCTGAACCAAGAGCCAACAGATCTTCGGTGGAGCTGGGCTGGATTCAGGGACTTGTGCGCGCGTAATGACGCGCTGACTGACTGCTGGTTTTAAGACTGAAATAATGTGGGGACTGCACGTGCGTTTGGGGTCCTTTTTTAAAACCAGCTCACCCTCTCTGAAGGCACCATGGAGAACCGTAACCTGCGTTCATTCCGCACACCTCTCATGACCGGTAGCTTCCAACAGGTCTCGGTGCGTCCTCAAGGAACTTTTCTCTTTTCTACCGACTCTTAGGATGTGCTGTGTTTTACTCAGATCCCTTGCGCACACTTAAAAGACGTTTTCCAGTAACAGTTAGACATGCAGAGCCGCGGTTTGGTGAGAAACTCGGCCGCTCTGTCCACGGTGCGCTCCTGCCTGCTGCTGCTCTTCATCCACATGAGCGCTCCGGTGGAGGCGAAGAGAGTGGCCGGCGGCCGGGCGCAGACCCGCCGTGTGCAGCCGCAGCAGCAGCCTCCGGCGCACAGGGAGAGGGTGGAAGGAGCAGAGAGCTTCCCGTTAGACTTCACCGCCGTGGAGGGGAACATGGACAACTTCATGGTGCAGATAAAGAACCTCGCGCAGTCACTGTACCCGTGCTCTGCGCAGAAACTGGATCAAGACATGAAGTTGCACTTTTTGAAAAATGTTTCTGTGACTTGCAATGACGGGTCACCTGCAGGGTGAGTGAACCTTTTGGCACCAATAACTTAGTAACTTGGTAGGTCTGTCTGCGTTATGTATGGCTGTTTGGTTGAAGCCATGAAGGCGCACAGTTGCGCCAAACATCACATTTGCGTTTCTCTGGCGGGTTAGTTTACTTCCCTGCCCCTCAGTCTCTTGTCACTCCGGATGTGATCAAAATGGATCAAAAGGACAAATCAGAGGGATGGCAGCGCGCGAGGAGAGAGAGAGAGAGAGAGAGAGAGAGAGAGAGGTGCGCGCATCCTACAGAGACGCAAATACTTCTATTTTTTATCTTTGCAGATGAGTCTATTTAAATCAGACGGATCAACGTTATTGGGTCTATTAGTTACAATATAAAACTAGACTGATAAATATAAATTACAACAATATTTGAAGACTTGCACTTAATAATTCAGGTGTTCTGAGTTACAGACTAAAACATACATGTTAAGACAAACTCATCTCACTGTAGACCCACAGGGAGCAGGTGTCCATGTCAGACTGCAGACTGACTGACTGTCTGTACACAACTACTTCAAAATAAACCAGTTTATCTTCAATCTCACATGCCTCAAAAGGTGTATTGTGCATGAATACTATCTCATTACCTCTGTATCAGTACTGAGAGCAAATGCAGAGACTTACATTATTTCTAAAGATAAATCTTGAGAACCTAATAATTAAGGTTAGAAAACCAAGACATTACTGGTACACTTTAAATACAGTATAAATTCAATTAACTTTATTATTGGTGATTTACGCTATTAAAGCACTGTGATTGTGTGAGTAAGAAGGAGCTTTCCATGCCACCCATGCTGTTAAGCGTCTGTGTTTCCAACAGCATGATGAGTTTCCTCTGCTCGTGTTTTAAAGAAAATAACCATTTAGAACTCTGAAACTCGCTAAACAGACTCCTGCAGAGATGTTTAGCAGTGCAATCAGAGCCAGATCTTTCATGTCAGGATCAAAGGTAGCATCCCTCCCATGGAGTTGGGGTGTGTGTGTGTGTGTGTGTGTGTGTGTGTGTGTGTGTGCGCGTGCGTGCCTGACACATTCACAGTGATTTGTTTTGCTGTTGGCACTCAGGTACTACATCAAGGAGTCTAAAGGCAGCAAGAGGTGGCTGCTGTTCTTGGAAGGTGAGGATGAACCTGCTAACTACTATACACTAATATGAAATGCAACTCTATGTTACCTGTTAACAAGCTGTGTGTGTGTGTGTGCGTGTGTGTGTGTGTGTGTGTGTGTGTGTGTGTGTGTGTGTGTGTGTGTGTGGTGTGTTGCTCAGGCGGCTGGTACTGTTTCAACAGGCAGACCTGTGACAGCAGGTACGGGACAATGAGGAGACTGATGAGCTCCACCAAGTGGCCACAAACCAGAACAGGTAACAGGACACACATGTTATTTCCTGCGTTGTGTGCAGCGATGCACACATCTCTCCTGCACATACATGCATGAAAGTGTTACCTGCTTTGTGCAGCATTTGCAAACATCTCCTCTACAGAGCTTTACAGAGCTTTCGCTTTCTTCAGTAGAAAAACACCCACTTCCCCCGAATGAAGGAGATTCATAGATTCATGTTTGTGTTTCCTCTTTAGCTGAGTTTGCATTCATCTTTAAAAGTCAAACTCTCTGGTTCTTTCCCTCCAGCCATCAGGGGACTCCTTGTTTGTTTATGACTCTGTGGTGTGTGTGTGTGTGTGTGTGTGTGTGTGTGTGTGTGTGTATACTTTACACTGGTGGCCAGTGCAGCAGCCACAGAGCTCTTTTATGACTGCATGTAATTGCTGACCAAAGCAGGAAAAGTTATTGACTTATTGACCCCCCCCCACACACACACACACACACACACTTACAGTAAACACGCACCTCAACTATTACGTCAAGGGTTGTAATTCTCTCTGGTAGCCTGCGAGATTTGAACCTCTCTTACTCTTGCTGAGGACATTTGTCCAGAAACTGAAGCAAATGTTACATCTTAGCTTCTCTGTTTCACAGGAACAGGAATTCTGTCTCCTCAGCCAGAGGAAAACCCTCACTGGTGGAACGCCAACATGGTGTAAGAACTTGTGTCTCTCTGTATAAGTTAATGCACTCGTGTGTTTTGCTGTTTCTCATTTTTCTTGTTTTCTCCACAATAACTCTTCCTGGGAAAGGAGAAAATAATTGTCAAGAGATTGTCAAGATCCAGTCAATATAAAACTGAGAACCAACTGATGTATAATATCTACAATATGATGCATTGATAGAGTTAATATTATTCACTTACTCAGCTGTACCTGGACCATCTACAAAAGTTAAATACTTCCATATACTTCAAATAGTTTAGCACCCTGAAAGGGGTTATTCCATATAGAAAGTAGAGTGATTCTACTTTAATATTAGGGTATTAAAGGTCCAGTGTGTAACATTTAGGAAGATCTATTGAAAATTAAATTTGCTTTGCTATGAAAGTGGGCTGTGACTCAATGACCATGGGGAAATGTGGGCCCCAAGGCGAAACCTGCTGAAAAACCACTTCTTTAATTTATATGTATCATACAGGACTTTAACTTCAAATTCCAATCGGGTATTTCTACTTTCAGTTACAATGTACAAAGTACCCATAAGACACATATCTTTACTATCTCTGCTGGTATTCATTTAGCCATGTATTATCCTTTCATACATTTCATAATGAAACACTGTCTTTGAATGCAATCTTGTAGTGTTTGTGTTCTGACTACCATCACCCAGTCAGCCTGGCCTTTATTACATCTGTAAAATCTGCTCTGGCTTTTATTTGATTCCAAGCTGTCTCTCTTTCTCTGTCTCCCTGTCTCTCTCTTCCTCTCTCTGTCTCTCTCTCTGTCTCCCGCAGGTTCATCCCATACTGCTCCAGTGATGTGTGGAGTGGAGTCACACCGAAGACAGATCACAGTAAGACACAATAAATCAGTTTGTGAGCTCTGGCTGAGGATATAAAAAGAAAGATCTATTGATTTACTAGCTGTTTAAAGGTAGAGATAAGGAGTGAGAGACAGATTAGGGCTTATAGACAGTGAATTTATGATCTGGAAGCTCATTGTCTCGTTCAGCTTACTGTGCCTTTGTTGTGTGGAAGCTTTTTGATTTGAGCTCTCATGTCAGCTATACATGTTTGAAAATCCTCCATAACTTGGAGCATCTATGACTTATTGAAATGCCTCATTATACTGTTTGTTTTAGACTCTTGGCAGGTTATGAATACCATGACACACAAGCTGTGTGGGTATCCCAGTCTCTGAGTTACAGCACTACAAACCAACCTGCATTATTTCATCCCTTAAAGGTCCAGTGTTTAACATTAAGGAGGATCTATTGACAGACATGGAATCTAATATTCATAACTATGTTTGATTTGTGTATAATCGCCTGAAATCATTATGTTTTTGTTACCTTAGAAGGAGCTGTTTTTATCAGACACAGCAGGCCCTTTCTGCCATATTTCTACAGTAGCCCAGAACGAACAAACCAAACACTGGCTGTAGATAGGGCTGTTGAGTTTTTTGGCCACCATAGGTTCTCCTTAACACAGCTTGCTGTCATTCCCAGGTCATCAAATACAGACGGCAGCGTCTGTTAGTTGCAATCTGAAACTTCACTGCTAGATGCTACTAAATCCTACACACTGGTCCTTTAAATATACCCATTCATTCATTCTTTTGTGTTGGGTGATCACACATGTAGTTTCTAGCTATGACTTGAAAAACTCCCGTTGTCTTACCCCAAGAGTCAGAGCTGTGTCATATGGCTGTATGTTACTAAATAAATAACATTTTTGTTCTCAGGTGATTATGCGTTCATGGGCTCTCTGATCATTAAGGAGGTGGTGAACGAGCTGCTGACAAAAGGTCTGGACAACGCCAAGGTTCTGCTCCTGGCAGGAAGCAGGTCAGTTCAGCATACGTCTGTGTGTGTGTGTGTGTGTGTGTGTGTGTGTGTGTGTGTGTGTGTGTGTGGCCTACCGTATTGTATGTGTGATAGTTGCTCAGTTGCACCCTCTGATCCCACTCTTCCTGCCACCAGTGCGGGCGGTACAGGTGTCCTGGTGAACGTGGACCACGTGGCAGAGCAGCTGCAGTCTCAGGGCTACCAGGGAGTTCAGGTCAGGGGTCTGGCAGACTCCGGATGGTTCCTGGACAACAAACAGTTCAAATTCACAGACTGCCTGGATACCATCAGCTGTGCCCCAACTGAGGGCATAAAGAAAGGCATCAGGTAGGACAGGTGGACAGCTGAAAGGGCAGATGGATGGACTGCTGGGGGATTAAACAGATTTTGTGATGATACTTTGCTGTTGTGCAGGTACTGGGGCGGTTTGGTGCCAGAGAGCTGCAGACAGGCTCACGTGGGAGAGGAGTGGAACTGTTTCTTCGGGTATAAAGTCTACCCCACGTTAAAAAGTGAGTGACTTCTCCACAAGGTAAAGACGGTGGCTGGTGTGTGTCATCTGGTCTGACCTGCAGCACGTCCTCTCTCCTGTCCAGGCCCGGTGTTCGTGGTGCAGTGGCTGTTTGACGAGGCCCAGCTGGCGGTCGACAACATCCACCTGACCGAACACCCCGTCCACGAGGGCCAATGGAGGTACATACAGAACCTGGGACAGGAACTGAGGAGCACACTGCGCGACGTGCCGTAAGACTGACACACACACACACACACACACACACACACACACACACACACGCACACACACAAAATAGAGTGAAGTAAAAAGGGCTGTTTTCTTTACTGTGTGATTCTGTGTTTTTAATGGCAGGGCGATGTTTGCTCCGGCCTGTCTGTCACATGAACTCATTACTAGAACGTAAGTAAATCAAGACTTTTATTATATGATATATCTGCATAGATGTAAATAACTAAATAATACTAAATTGTTTCAAGATACTTTAGACACAGTGTCACTTTTACATACTTTGTCCACCAGAGAGCACTGACAAGTTTTTTTTGGTAGTTAAGCGAAATTTAAGGGGTCCTTATCAAAAAATCCGATGTATGTTATGAGTTTATGTAAATAAATTACTATCAGCCAATCTATCATAGATAGACATTACAGTATAAAACAAAATCTCTCACATTTTATTTCATCATATCGCCCAATCCTAGTGTTACATTTTAATTTAATCCTCATGACAGGACCCATAATCATGTAGAACAATACACAAAGATTGTATGTAAGTACACAATCTGTACATTTTACATTGTAATAACATATATAATCTTTAGTAATGTTTTTGAGAGGATCTGTGAAGTTATCTGTGTTCTTTTTCCTCTGCCTCTGACCCCCTATCTCTGTGTGATGTCCCTGCAGCTACTGGATGGACATTCAGGTGAAAGGCACCTCCCTGCCCAGAGCCCTCCACTGCTGGGACCGCAGCCTCCAAGACAGCAACCACACCAACGGCAGTCACAGCAACCAAAAGCACAAGACTCCACCCATAAGGGGTTGCCCTCTACATTTGATTGACAGCTGCCCGTGGCCACACTGCAATCCCTCCTGCCCGACTATTCGTGACCAGCTGACGGGACAGGAGATGAGTGTGATCCAGTTCCTGAAGCACATGGGCTTTGACGTGCAGAAGATGGCCAAGCAGCAGGGGATGGACCCCAGGACGCTACTGGGCATGCTCAACAACGGGAACTAAGTCGCTTTTCTTTTAAGTGCAGCAGTGTTAATGTAATGTCGGTGAGCTGTTCAGCAAATAAATGGAAGACAAGGAACATGAAAACAGAACTCGAATGAGAAAACTATCAATACCCTCAAAACACCGTCTTCCATGAACGACAAACAAAACACAGCTTTTTAAAAGACTGAACAAAAAGTGCCTGATTGTTGAGTCAAATACAATCAAACCCTAACTGTTGTAATGGGATCACATGCTCTTTGTTTTAAGACATAGACAGATATATACTGTATGTGTTTATTTGTTAGGATCCCCATTAGCTGTGTCCTAAAGCACAGCTAGTCTTGCTGGGGTCCACACTGTAGATATGCTATTATTGTGAGGTGTACACAAATACATAAAACAGGTAGGTACAGTGTGTGTATATATACAGTAAATATGTACCGTACATCATGTCTGTGCAGGTGAAACTGTCATGGTGGTAGTTTTGATGGGAAGGCACTGGACTGTTTTGTGGGGATTTGGTGCTCTCTTCTGTCAATTCTGACTATTACAATCAGAAATCCATCCATGGTGCTGCTGTTTCTACCCTCCACCAAATATGCTGCTTTTTCTCAGTTTGGAATTATAATTTAATGGTTAATATTTACTAATAAAAGGTACAAAGAGTAAGATTATTTCTTTGTTCTCCAGGCTACTTAAGAGTGCTTGTATATTTATTTTTCTACTGAAAATATATTTTATGTCTTACAGTCAGATATGGTGTCTCCATACATTGTACTTTTTTATTTGCATGTTTGTGGGGAAAAAAACTAAAACTGTATGCTGATAGTACAAATCACGTCCATATTGTTTTTCAGGCGGTTGAGTTTGTAACAAATATTTCCTGTGCTGTAGTAGTACCCACACATAACATAAGCACTAATAAATACAAATACAAGCTGATATGATAAAACATAATTTAATCACAAAAGTATGACAATACAGTGGTAATTATCAGCCTAAAGCAAAAAAGGAAAAACTAAGTCCTTTCCAGTATTATCATACTCACACCCACAACATTCAATGTTTATCTACAACATACATACTGATAAAAATATTAAAAAAATTAAAAGCATAAAAAAAACATTTTAGACTACATACATTTTTTTCACCAGAAAACTATATATAAACTTAAAAAAAATTGTTCACAGTTGAGATGAAAAGTGCTTCTATGAGAGATGACTGAAATCTATGAAAACTGATGGCATCAGCTTTAAGATTTTTCAGGTTCCACTGTCTGTATCATTTAACGTCGGCATTTCCTCTATAAACAGCACTGTATAAAGCAGACAGCTTTGTTTCACGTGATATGTCCATTACAATCCTCAACAAATTTTAAATCTACCAAATGCATTTGAATTTGGTCACATATACAGTTGTCCTTCCCTGGCTATAATGGGGTTAAGATCACTCCAGACCTCAGTGCTCAGACAATTGAGGAGCCTTGTCTACTGGAGAGGCTGGGATCTCAGCAGCCTGAGTCCTAGAGGGAAAACAAAACAAAGCACAGGAGGTCAGTGTATACAGATTGTTTTAGCTTCAGGCAAAAAGTGCTGTTGTAGAGCCGCAAAGACCGACCTGACTTGTGAGTCTTCGGGCGGGGGTTCTTTTTTGCTCATGGATAGACTGGAGGCGAGTGATCAGAAACTTCTTATCCTCTCCTTCCTGAGCAGACAGATGAAAAGAGGAAGCAGAGTCATCAAATGTAGCCTGTTTTATCTTTATGACGGCATAGATTGAGAAACATTACTTGTAGGTGATGTCTTACATTTTCTATCTGCTCCTGTAGTAAGTTGATGATCTTCCTTTGACCGTCCACCACCTGACTGTGGAAGTAGATGACTATCCTGAAGGAAAGAAGACGCAGAGTGCATCAGATCAATATAACCAAGACTGACCTCATTAATACAGAAGAAATACCGCACATACTGACTCTAACAGTGGACCAAAACGTCCAACGTCTTTGTTTATGTCTGTCTGTCTGTGTGTGTGTGTGTGTGTGTGTGTGTGTGTGTGTGTGTGTGTGCGTGCACACTCACAGGAAGATACCTGCTCCCAGAAACAGGAAGAGAGGGTTTTCCACCAGGTAGGCGTGAGCCCTGGCCAGCAGGGACAGGTTGGGATTATCTTTTTCCAGTTCTTCCACCCAGCGCTTCCCTGCTTGGAACATCGTTTTGAGCTCGCGAAAGGGACCGCACGACGAGGAGGGTGTGATACTGAGGACAGAAGACCAACACAGTCACACAAGACATTTATTTGATCTTTCTCTGAGGATAATTTGACCGTGGCCCTGGAAAAAATATATATATTTTTGATTGGTGGCCAAGTATCCAATAAAATCTAAAAACAGGAGAGCTCAGAAATACTTCTCATAAACACCTTGATCTAAATCAGTGCCCAAAGTGTATTTTAACTACAGGTATCCATAGCAACAGTACCTCTGCTTGAATATAAGTATGGTATAAGTGTGGTTCTGAGGTGTCCTGATACACAAAATAATGGACTCATCCATTATTTTCACATAGCTGGAAACCTCCTCGTGTGTTATTCACATTTGTTCACGGCCGAGGTGCCCTTGAGCAAGGCAACCAAACCCCGCAAACGTGGCAAGGCCATCACTCCACCATCTCTCTCCCTGTTTGCATGTCCACAAGTGCATGAAGTGTGTATTTTAGCCTGTGTGTGTGTGTGTGTGTGTGTGTGTGTGTGTGTTAGTACCTCCACATTGTGTATGTGACACACACAGAGGCACCGAGGAAGGAGGGGAAGCAGAGGAGGGTGATAAAGATGGTGGTCATCTGGCTGACTCTGTATGGCTTCCGGGGAGCCTGACAGTTCATCATTACACTACTCTATAGGGAGAAAAAACACACAAAGGTCAAAGGTCACTGCTTCCATCACAACTGTCAGAGGAAGTCCACAGAGATTTTGTTATCAATCTACTGTGTCCAAGGTCACAAATTAACTTCAAATGCCAAAAATAAGACATCAGAGAATTAATAACAACTATACTATACAACCAGGATATATATATTAATACATATTAAACAGTGCACAACACGTACTGTATGGTTACTATACTGACACAGTTTATAGACAGTCTGCAAGGATCCGAACTGTTCAAGTGTCCAAAGGTGGCAAAAATCTGAAGCTGTCTAATAGGCTCAGAATTTCTGACAGCACACCACTACAAGGGATCATTTTAACCATAAAGTTAAAAACTTTTGAAAATTTCAGTTTAAGCTTTTATTTTGAGCAATATAACAGGACTGTTTCCCATTTAAGCACCTTCTTGATGTAGAAGAGCAGCAAGAGTTTGATAATCTGCACTGCAGGCAGGAGAGGAGTGAAGAGAACACCTAACCTGAAAAACATAATGTTCACTGTCATTACCCACAAACAAACTGACTTAACATAACAGTGTGTTCATCTGAACATTAAGTTTAATACCAGGCCAACGTCTGTCCATAGATGAGTTCAAGGACGTTCCTTGCGATATCAAACACTGGTTTTCTCCTCCTCTTCAGCACCCTCTCAGAAAACAACCTGCAGACAAAAGAAGAAAAAGTGATATGGTTTAATACAATATAGCAACAGAACAGAAAGAAATGACAAATCAAGAACTTAAGTGAGTTTTTAGGCTCACATGCGGGTAACAAAAAACCTATACTTGACTTATTTGGTGGGACTTTTTCTTATTTACCTTAAACAACAAGGGGAAAGAAAAACATGAATAACCAACCTCCAAAGAAACTCTCCAAACAAGGTGTCTAGTAGAGTAAAGATGAATTCCATAAGTAGGAAGCGATAAAGTTCCTGACCAACAAAACTCTCCCAGCACTGGAGAGAGAGCAGAGTCAGCCATTAAACAAATAATAATCAAGATTATTAATAATCCTCAATGCTGATATGATGAAAATATGAAAGTAAAAATGATTCATTTATGTTACCTTCAGTTTAATACTTGCAGGGTCAGCAGCCACCCGACCCAGCCAGTGGTAGCACAGGACCCCAAGCACACAGACTTTCAACAACAAGTTTCTAGAACACAGACAGCAAACGTTACCAGCCTAAACCATAATCTCTGATACCTGTGAGCTTGCAACATCCAGTCTCCCTGCTCGTACCTGCCGATGGCGACGTATGTGCGTACAGAGGGTGACTCATAGTCCTCCATCCAGGCTGCAAGGTTGAACAGGCCGGGCAGCAGCAGGTTGATGAGGGACACCATGACGGGGAGCGCCAGCAGGCTGGCCTCAAACAACAAAGGGTCCTTGATGGTACTACGAGATCTTTGCTGAAGGTTCTGTTGGGGAGACAGAACGAGAACTAGATGATGTGCTCTTTAGTCACTGCTGATTGTTCTGCCATTTTCTGTCTGTTAGAAATTGTTATGTATTTATTTTTCACACATTTTTGTTATTCTACTGCTTTTAACTATTAGCAGTCATGTTTTGTACAGTGGTTTGTTTGATATACAGAAGCATTACTGATTTGCTTGGACCACAGTCTGACAGTATGGTGCACAGCAGGGGCATACTGTACGTATTCATGGCTGCTGCTTTAATAAACATGAAGACAAAAGACTGTATAACAAGGGACAACAAATACAGCCTGATATCTGAGTGTCTACCAATAAAAACTTTTGAGCCACAGTTAATGCCGACTTTGGACCCTAAAACCACCCCACCTCACCTGGTGCATGTGATCAGAGAAGTAGTAAATAGCAGTCACACAGGCAGCGGTGCTTGCTATGCAGATAGCCCATGCCAGGCCATGAACCAACAGTCTCCACAGCTTCTGACACGCAGTGTTCTTGACATTCTTGTGATTCACCTCTGCTAGCAGCTCCTGGAGAGGGTGGAGGAAGGAGAGACAGAGGGAGATAATTTGAGGGAGGAAAAGGGTGAAAGAGAGGGACAGAGGATGAACATTATGAGGGAAACAGAGGGATAAAGAAGGAAAAGATTTAATTAGATCATCACATTCCTGTGAGCCAATTATGTGACAGAGGAAGAGACAAAAAGAGGAAGGATGTGTTTTTATAAATTAAAGTGTGTGTGTTTACATGTACCTTGAGCTGGGTGCCAATATTCTCAGACATGAGTCTCACAGAGGTTTTCTTAATGACTTTGAAGTCCCAGGAGCAGAAGACCTTTATGGCCAAGATACTGTGAGAGTTGTCGATTCGGAAGCTCTGCCCAAATGACTTTGACATGCTGTTGGGAAATTGAAATTTTAAACCTGTTATGTTAGTATATTTTGCGTTTGGATGCACATTTTGACCTTCTTTAAAAAAAAAAAAAAAAAAACACTCCATACCTGTAAACAAGGATGATACATGTGATGAAGAAAGCCACTCCTATGGTGAAGAAGTATGCAAGCGGCATGTTGTAAGAGTGGTGCTTCGACACACAGTCCAACCTGGTACCATTGGACACAGAGACATTCTGCCCCCCAACATCATCCCTGCAGCTCTTATGCAGTGTGTAGTTACAGTAGTATCCATAGTACATCACTGTGTCTGAGAAATAGCCCTGAGACAAAAGGAGATCGAGAGAGAAAGAGATTTTTTTTACTTTTCAGACATGTTTAAAGACACACACACACATATATATATATATATATGTATATATATATATAAATAAAAAAGAC